TCTCTCTCTCTCTCTCTCTCTCTCTCTCTGTTGCACTTGTAGGCCTATGTCTGTACGTGCGTGCACTAATATAAGCATGTCTGTGCTTGAACATATTATTCTACAGTGCAAATAAATATCATAGAAATATACATTTGAAAAGAAATGTTCAGTTAATTGATGAGGAGGGAATTTTAGGTTTCAATATTTCGGCTGATGCTCAGGTACATTATTATTATTATTATTATTATTATTATTATTATTATTAATTTGTCAGCATTTAATATTTGATGAAAAATATAGCCACGGCGCAGATATCATTCTGGTATATTTTATCCTCAGTCATTATTTCGTGCCAGATTTATCTAGTCATATTGCGAAAACAAGCATGGTGTGCGTATCTCTCAGGTAAATGGTAAGGTCATGAGTTTACATGAACAACACTGTTTTTTTCGGTGGGAGAACGGCTGTTATTTTCATCAACTTCCCGATCATTAGGCACATTAACAAACATGTGTTATATATCAATTACAAACACTTGTGCTTGGTACTTCCTTTGTATTATGCTACTGTATATAACACACGTACCTGGATGTATTTTCATACTTATGCCTAGGTAATACATGTAAATACAAGGGTTTCAGTTTGGTGTTTTAATAATCAAGATCGAGCTTTTGAGATAGGAATCATTGAGATTCTACGCCCCAGAACCCATAGCACTGCAAACAAAACAATAACCAATCTAAACAATTGTTTTCTGTCTCGAATTGACGTGCTTTCACTTGTACCAACATTGTATGTATGGGTTTAAACACGCTGTTTTTCCTGCATTTTACTGCTAGCATTCTTCATATCAAACTGAACTTAACTTAAATAATTATACGAATGAAACAATTCACAATCGACCGGCTAGTATGAGTATCCCATTGGAATTAACAGAGGACTTCGGGCAGTAAACAGGATGATCCTCAGTATAGCTATGACTATTCTACATGACGTTAAATTCCTCCCAGGTGAGACATCGTTGAATGACACGTATACCTGGGTACTGATAATCATGGACGAGTATGAACTGAAGGAGTATACGCGAGCGCGGATGTACGTGTATGCTTTATATCGATATCTGTGATATGGCGTGCGTATTCACAAAGTTCATCATGCTGTTCTACATTTCTTTGTAATTCAGATTGTGAGGAAAGGAAATATGACGGACAGTACCGGAAACATCAACGTGGGTTTGGTCATCGGTGTCTCAGTTAGCGGTGCGGTCATCACTGGCGTCGTGGCGACACTGATCATCGTCTGCTGCTGTTGCAGGAAACGTGGGTACACGTTTTTGCGCAGGCTCACTTCTGGAAGACAGGTAGGGTTTGAAAAGCTTTCTTTTCTTGTCTGTTTTTATTTATTTATTTATGTATTTATTTATTTATTACCAGTATAATTCCATGTGTGTGTGTGTGTGTGTGTGTGTGTGTGTGTGTGAGAGAGAGAGAGAGAGAGAGAGAGAGAGAGAGAGAGAGAGCTTACGCTGTTGAAAGGAGTGAGGCAAATTTGATATTCATCACCTTCTTACCCATTTTTATTCGATTTTTCGTGGATTTCTTAAGTCGCCCGTACATTCATTAATTATTTGTAATTTATTGTAGGTAATGGTTATTGACAGAGACGAAGAATGTGCTAACAGAATAGATATACTACCTCACATGAAGATTGCCGACATCAAGACCGAGCTCAGTGGCTCGGAAACTTTAGAGGTAGAGAAAATGAGACTCCTCTACCATCACGACGAACTGGGAAACGATGAAAATGTCGATATCGCATTGTCTCGCAGACGAGCCAAAACCGCGAAAATCACCCTGCAAAAACTGATAAAATTGACCATCGATGCTACTCCAGACAGAACGTGTGAGCTATACGTTTCACCTCAACACGATACGGTGGGATCGGCCGCGGAAATAGTGGCTTCTTCCTTGCGTATAAACCAGGAACATGTGAAGTTCGAGAAGCCAGACAATGGAGGAGATATATTAGAGTCCGATTCTACATTTGAGACCTGTGGAATTAAAAGCGACACTCGTCTAAAACTTATGCCGATAACGACCACAGCTAAAGTGTTTTCACGGGAGGGGAAATTTCAAGAAGAAATTTGGAAATGCAGCCCTTTATCTACCGTTACCCATTTATTTGAGAGCATTCAGAATACTGTTGATCCGGATAAGCAAGCTCTTGATATACGCCGAGCGCGAAGACGATATTTTTCTTCCCCACAAAAATGCGAGCAGGATTCTATGACTGTGCATGTGCCAGCTAATGACACTTGGGTGAATGCAGACGAAATAGCACAGGACGAAATCCACACCCACGCTCAAGGTGTCTTCATTATAGAAGAACTGATCACCGTAAGTGTTGAATTTCCCGGTGGAAAAATCATGTCTTGCAAAGTTTATCCCTGTGACCGGATAAAAGACCTCAGAGAAAACATCAGCAAGAGGAAGAACATTCCAGTAAAGTATTTGGAGTTGCTCCTGAATGCGGGCGATGCTGAATGCTTGGATGACACGAGGTTCATTTTCAATTGCAATAGGGATAAGTTATATGTGAAACCGGTAATAGTTGATTTGTTGACGGACATAGGTTTGATACATCAAGAATGCGATCCAACTGGCACCGTGAAAGATTTAAAAGAAATAATGCGGCGTGTTGAACCCAGGGCCATTCTCAACACCACGCACTTTATCGTTAAAGAGTTCGTTTCGACAGAGGATTTGAAAGAAAGGCCCCAGCACGAGGAACACGAGGAAAATACACCTCTGTGTTTGGTACGCAAAGTCCACATATCCCACAATAAGAAAATCCATGTTATTTTCCCCAGTGGTCGTGACGAAATCATCAATTGCCACTTGACTATGACCGTCGGTCAATTTCGACAGACACTTCACGAAAAGACCCGATGTCCTCTTCACCATCTTCAGTTATCAACGTCAGACGATCAACCAATGAGAGACGAGGATTTGGTCTCGGATTATAAATTGCTGGACGAGGATAAAATTAAAGTAGCAGCGATTCCAGTTTGGGTGACCATTGACGATGAGAGAATCGAGTTTCAGCGAGACGCCCTCCTGAGCGTTGAAACTACAGCAGACGACATTTGCGCTCAGCGTGATGCGGTGGTTGGATGTCTGGAGTATTTCCATGAGAAGCAGAATTTGTGGAGAGCGGCAGACGATAACGTCAGGTCTCTTCCCTTACACTGCTTCAGAGAATTAAAAATACGGACTCTAAAAACTCCCCTATCAGAGTCCACGTAGTTTTTAATGATCAAAATGATCAAAACTAATTGTTTAGAAATTAATTTTAGTTAATTAATTAGTATACTGTATTGAATAATTATAAAAGAAGAAGGGATTTTATTTTAATCAGTGACGTATTGAGAATGATGGTACAAATATATGAAGCAGGATGACGATGAGTTTCATATCCGCACGCCCGCACGCACACAGCTTCACGCTACTGTAGGCTTAGCGCGGTGATAAAATTTCAAGATAATACGTAGCAAGGCACAAATTCTGATTAAATGAGGGGGGATTCCACATTGGTTTCGATTGGTTTTGATCCAGTTGGTTTCTCCAGTGACATGTTGTTTTACACAATAGATAACGTACATAAAACGGATGAATGAAAAGGCTGTACATTTTACATCATAACAAGATCGAAAACAATATGTGCATGATCTTTGAAAGCAAACATTGTAAGCGTCCTCATTCAGAGAATTCAGTCGATAAAATAAATACCCTAATGCCTCATGAATACAATCCAGCTCACGCAATGTGACAACTAAATTCAATTATTGGGTACGGGTTAGCATTAGGGCCACAAATCGCTCGAAATATTGATATTTCTATAAACATCTTTTCTAAGCACTTACTCCGGTGATTCGTATTAACCAGGGAATTCAGATTTCAGTCAACATGGATCATATCGTACTTAATTGAACTTAAAGATTAAATTGCACAGAGCTCGAGCAATCAGACATAGATAAAGGGCGATAGAATTGCGATAGAGGCGCGTGATGTGTTCATTGCAATTGTTGTGGAAATATAACATTTGCCTAGTGCTCTCCCTATAAATAATTAAATAAACAGACATGCAAAGAAAGAAAGAAAGAAAAATAAAATAAAGTAACCATAGCTATCATGGATGATTTATGGGAGGCAAAAAATACATTTGATTCTTTTTGTCTTTTATACACAAATAAATCTTTTGGATAACTTGACATAAGAGTACAAAGAGAACAATATAAGACACAATGAGAGCTCTTAGGTTTTTAGCAAAGCACGTTATCTGTAGTGCCTTTGATGTTCAAGTGGCCAAAGAGCGGCAAGACTCATCCCTCTGTGTTTTATTAAGTGGTTGTGTCCCAAATACTTATAGATACTAGGCACAGGAAGTACATGTATAACTGTATATACTAGCTAGCACAGAGAACGATCCGAGGTATTAATATATACAAAATGCTGGGCACCACTTGTAGAGGCTGTTTCATTCTTGCTTTATCATTTCATTTATCACTGTAAGGGATTCGATATTCCTTCGAAGTATAAAACTTGCTTCATTTATCAGGAAGTGACATGGTATTGTTGTCTTTGTCTTTGTAATTCTTTCTTTTTTTTTAATTCTTGGTAAGCATAGTGTTTTATTTAAAGTCTTTACATATATCAGGAGGTATGTGACATGTGTACGTAAGTGCTTTCGGTCGAAATTAATTGGACATGGCTGCCGAAGGGAGTAGAACACTTAACTGTCATTGTTGTGGATGTCAATAGTTCAAGTACTCTTTACCAGACCAGTTGGGTGGTGACAGCTGCAGAAAAAAACATCTGTTGATGTCTTGTGAAATAATCGTCGTCCGTCGGCCTCCTGTCGTCCTGGTGCAGGATGCTTTTCCATAGGAACTCAATGTATCTGATATTTCGGAATTGAAAATAAATGGGTAGCTATCGAGCCCAAATGTTCTATAGTAGCTCCTTCTAACAGTAATATTCCCGCCGAAATGTGTTTTTCTTTTCGACTGTTTTCAATTCTCTCATATTCATTTAAGGATAAAAAGAAATAAGCCATCAAGCCGGTCAATAAATATTCTATTAAATAGTCAATCAAAGCGTGGCAAAAATTTATATCGGGAAATGCGTTAGGGGAAATAATGAAGACAGAGAAATATAAGATAGTAATACTCTGAAGTAGGTGTGCCACGTGGCTTGAAAGATTACATTTCTGGTAACGAACCTGAGGGTCCGTGTAAGAGAAAGTCCACCCTCCATTTAGTTATAATGGTTAGGGTTAGCCTGACCTAAGTGGGTCAAAATCGAAGGCGAGGCTTACCAGTACAAATGAATGGGAAGTGAACTCTCTTTCATGGGGGACTCTCTGTCACGCCACACCGGTTCAAGCCTTACATTTTATCGAAAAGCACAGGCTATGATTTGGGAAACGTGAACGAAATTGACGATGGGCTTAAAATAGAAAAAAATCTTAATGGGAGTTTGAAAATACAATCATTGTTTATTCGTGGAAAATTATCTAATTCTGTTTTAAAGTATGGTGCCTGGATAGAGATAACGTAATGTACTCTCTTGTAATGATGTATGTGAAACAGTAACGACCAAATATTTTACATCTGTTTCTTTTTCCATTGAAAAGAACTTTCGCCAGCATGGGATCTTTATCTATTTAGAATCTTACACGATTTTAAAGACTTGGGTTAGAACACTGAAGATCGTGTCTGTTTATCTTGGAACCGTACGGACAAAACCAGCTCGCTTGTAAAAATTACAAGCTTACTCGGGGTTTCTAACAAAGGGAAAGAGTGCGTGAGAATGCAAAAGGTCCCAGAGGGTCTGGTAGAGTCTGTTACTGACACAGCATCACGTAATAAGTAACATCGATAGGAATAGTTCTTAAGGTCTTCGCCCTCCACTGGCCAAGCTCGAACACCTACGGATGCATTTTTTTACTCGGTAATTTATTAAGTGCTCGTGCATCATGCAATCGCACAACACAGCTTTCTTTATAAAGAGTCATAACCTATACGAAAAATGCACTGACATAGCTGCATTCCATGTAAGTTCGTTTGTCTGTAATATCGATCGTCATCTTGCGGTATGTTGTCCCTTGAGCATCAATACTTATGATTTAATTAATTTGTATTTATTGCATCTTACGTATATAACTTTTTTCAATATCTATTACCAATAGTGGTGTACTAAGTTTCAGTGACCGAACATGCGATATGCCAGTATTTTATACGTACGACCTGAACAGCGGCAGTCATTGGTCCGAGTGTTTATGTAATGCGTAAACGAAATTCATGTTCCGCAAATTAGACCCGATTGGGTCAATACGATGTAAAAATAAGTGAGGCAATATTCATCAAAGCCAACGTGGATGGAATGCAATTGTTGAAAATAACATCAAACACTGAATATTCTAGAATTGTAGAAAGTAACACCAGAAACTAAATGTCTATATTCAGTTGATATCAATTTATTCATTACCGTTTTCTTTTTTTTTTTCTTTTTTTTTTTTCTTTTTCTTTGGATGAATTTTCACTACATTGAGACATTTATGCTCGTTCCAGGACTTCTCAGTCACGAGCGAGTTTTATTAAATAACTATAGATGAAAGTGGACTTGGCCTTAAAACTAAAATTAATTCAATTCTTTGAATCCAATTGAATAATACTACTTTCTTAAATGAGGCAATTGGGTCTATTTTTGCAGAATGTTATAGACTTCAGCGAAAATAGACCCAATTCGGAAGATATTAATTACACCATGTAAATGAACGTGTACATGTATGTTAGTGCACAAGTACTATAATGAAACAGAACACATTTTTCTCTTAAACTTAAGACTTAATTCAGCTTTGTGTCTATTTTTAACACAGGGATTTACTAAAAAAGAAATTATCGTCAATGAACTATCTCAAAATCGGGCAAGGAGCAGTTGCTGTTATGCCCTGAGGTAAAAACGCATGTCTAGGTCAGATTCTTAACAAATTTGGTACAGCGTAAAAGATGGAAATTGAACCCTCTCAAATGCCTACCTTGGGCAAGAATGAAATAAGAGACTGTCGAATGCTCAAGAAAGCAAATAATACAAGTATGAGGTCGCCTGAACTTCTGTATATCCCCCGGTCAATTGATTGTGTTTGTGCTCCCACCCTCTCTCTCTCTCGCTCTCTCTCTCTCTCTCTCTCTCTTCTTTTTCTTCCCCGTTTCTCTTTGTCAATTTGCATATATGCACGCATATATACGCGTGTTTTTGCATGTGTTTAAACTAAATTCTCTCACAATTTTAAAAGTAAACTATTTGAGATCTGCATAGGGTCTTTACCAACATCATCGAAAATCGACGAGTGTAAGTGCGCGCGTGTATAACATTTATATCGAAATCTCTCACGAACACACCTCGCTTCCAGTCAACGGTGAATCTGCACTTTGAATAAGCGAAAAACAAATAAACTGAAACCATATCACCGTAGAATTAGCCTGGGAAATAACAACTAAGTCAACACAGACCGCAAGCGTGTGCAGCAGGTAACGGTTTCCTACAAAAACATTTTCCTTAACTGAACAGTGATTAGTCATTAGTTGGAAAGACGAAGTAAAAAATGTGATCTTTACCTTTAGTTTGCCTTTTTTTATTCCAGTGGGTTATAACGGTGGACATCGGAATACACGCTAATTTTGTTAAAAAAGAGGAGATAAGGGTGAATGTTGGGCGGCATGAATATTTTCACCTAGAAAAACTTTAAATGAAGTGATAAATGCTTGAATGGACAGAAAATTGACAGGTTTACAGCAAAAAGAAAAATAATAACTATCAATGCATAAACTTGGTAAAAAAAGATTTGATTTATTATGTTTACAGGGCACTTATGTTGTACTTTGCGATCTAGCTGTTTGTCACACATTGGACTTATGTGGAGATAGAAGAAATTAACCTATAGTATAACAGTGTTCACAAACATTACAGAAAATACTTACGTATCTAAAATGAAGATAATAATAATAATAATAATAATAATAATAATAATAATAATAATAATAAACAACTTTATTTAAAGAGGGTAAAACATGCGAACACTTATCTTACACATGGCCCTCTAGGGGGTTAAAATTAAAGATTGACGTTTTCCTTGGACGTCATTTAATAATAAAGAGAAAGAAAAGGAAATATGAAATGTTAATAATTTGTGATTTTTTATTTGTTTATTTCATAATCTCTTACACGACATCTCGCATGCAGAGGAGTCCATGTATAGCGTGTTGTTTTTCCGACAGCGCCCACCCGAGATTCAAATTGATAAAGTGTGCGATCGAATGTAATGCCTTTTCAATTATTGTTTGTTGCTTTTTCTAGTAACAATACGAATCACTGCCAACCTTTTCATTGAAATGGAATGAATCCACAACAATTGCGTAAGTTTTCTAAACGGGATTATACAGGGAAATAATGGATACCATTTTATTGCGCAAACTAAAATCGTTGACATCGGACCTTAGGAAAAGGCTAATGTCTAAGACCGATGGTTTTAAATTTTCCAATTTTTGATGCCGATAGATTCTAATTTATATCGCGTGACAAGTTGTTTTCATCTTTAATCCGGGTGTTACCTGCTTATCGAAATCTTCCTGTGAGGAATTTTCTAAGATGGAGTCTTGATTTAAGAAAATGTCACACAAAGTTCATTGTCCACAAGTGGGATTTTTCATTCACTATACATTTATCTTAGGATAAGAGGCAGTTAGTTTAAGCTAGATTTTCAACTGTACCAAGGACAGAAATATCTGTTGATCGAAACTCAATGACTAAGTTTTTAACAGGGCCAAAATATTGTAACAATTGTACTTGATTCATTCTCTCTTTCGTACAAATTACTTGATTGACACCCAACATTAAGGCGACTCATTTTTTTTAAATGTCAACATTTAAATGAAAGTTAGAAATAATGTCTTGATGTGGCGTATTTGCATATTGGTTTATGAAAGATGGATTTTAGAAAATAACAACGAGGTCTTATAAAACCTTTTTTTATCGCAAGACCATGCGTTTTTTTTTAAACATTGTTAAAAACAAAAATAACAAATCTGAATAAGAAATTGGAATACTTAGTAATACCGCTTCTGGAGTGGTACTGTACATGTACCTTAAGCCTAGAAAAAGAAAATACCCACAAAAAGAAACGGAATACTAGAAAAAAAATAATTCTGAGACTTCAGTTTATGCTTCAAGTGGCTGTTTTCTGATTGGCGCCTTATGTGCGCCGTGTACTGTTTGATAACAAGGAAGTAAACACACAGACGCGGGAGCGTTTTCTGAGAAATACTTTGACAGCTTTATAGTGTAGTAAATGTCTAACAAAAGTTTAGTTTCCCATGAATTTAGAGTGAACTGAAGGACACTGAATTGGCATATAATTCCACTTTGATCTCCATATACCTGTAAAAGAGCTATTGTTTTGTAAAATGGGTGTTTATTTTTTCGTTAATAAATATCAGGTGAATCTATCAGACTTCTTAAACGAAAACTTGTTTCTTTTTGTTTCCCATTATAAAACCTGTCTAAAATAGCATCACGGTTATCTTGGAGGCAATGAGAAAATTTGCATTGTATGTTGCGTCAGATATTTCAACCCTTACTTCTACTCTCTTGCAAGTAGCCATACGTGGCATTTAAAGCCAAAGAAAACAAGAAGACATGCAATCAATTACCATCTTCTTTTTTGATGTAATTCAAGAAAAATAATCATGTGTTTTAGTGACGCATTCTTTAGATATTATTGTGCAATTTTTTGGCAAAAATTATCATTGCCAGAAAAACCTTGCATGAACATATATCTTTGATTTAGAGGACGTGCAAGTGGTGACCTCTACTGATTTTTACCATGTTTTGAATCGCAAAGATGTACCGAAAACTGCATCAAGTGGAGTCTACAAAGACATCATTCGATCCTGTCCTCGTCGTCATTGTTTAGCTGATTCTTGTGACATATTATAGACATAACCGACGGAGACAGGCAATGATAGTCCTTATACTTACATAACCATTTACGAGCACATCTATGTACAGTGGCGGAATTAGGGGGTGCCAGCGGGGTCCTGTCCTCCCCCCCCCCCCTCGATATCTGAAAAAAAATCAAACCAATGAGCCCCTCTTAAAATCGAAATTTTGACTAGCTGTATCATAGCTCTAAACCGTACCGAATGGCACCGTTCGCCCTCTAAATACCAAAACCCACGCCAAGGGGGTGGGGGGTGGTAAGGGTCGGCTTTGCATCCTCGGATCCCCCCTTCAAATAATCCTGGATCCGCCCCTGTATGCACTATTCTGCCATTAAGACATTCAGGGCATTTAATTTGGGCTGTCCATATACTCAAACTACATGTACCTGTAAAAACTCAGGTGGAATAGAATAAATGTTTGGTCGGTTTCTCATGCTTGATCCTGTGTTGTTGAAACCTTGGTAGCGAACCCGGCACATTGAAGTTAACCTTTTCTGTGTTTTTTCTTCTTTATACTTGTCAAGATTAATATGCGGGTACTAGCAGGGAACACGCGTTGTGGTTTTGAGCAAGTTAGCTGTTACCAGACCGACCTCCTCGGCAGCTTTGTGAAAATAAACAGTAGGAATGTCTGGAGAAAGTGCATAATTTAGTTTCCCCTTAAAGGGAGAGCGAACAGTTGTTATGGTAAATACCTCAGTGTCATTGTTGTAAAAAGGAGAACAATAGTGGCAGTTGCTGGTTTTCAGAATTTTTCCATGTTGTGTAAGCTGTCTCTTTCAATTTCCCTCACTCCTTCTGTCTCTCTCCCCTCCTCTCTCTCTCTCTCTCTCTCTCTCTCTCTCTCTCTCGGTTTGTGCATGTGTGTTTAGACTCTTATGTTAGGACTCGTGCATGGAAATCCTTTAATAAATGATTCATTTGGATTTTGACAACATATGACTACTAGCGCCGTTTACAGTGATACCTGATCGTCTACGGGTCTGTCAACCACCTGACTGACCCTTCAAGCTGGAAATGGTAAAATATACACCCTTTTTGGGTGTCCAGTTCTCATTGTTTTACCTTAAAATTATAAGCGCAAAAATTTGGAGACGCTTTTTAGATGTTAACCCCACCTTGCTTTAAGCAGATTGCAATGGTTCACGTAAATTGATAGTTTCATCTTTTGCCCTAAATTACACAAATAAAATGTCGCCACCAGTTTTCTATTCTTCTAAAGTAAATTTAATTTAAGTGTACCAGAATTCATAGGATGCAGAGCCTCTGGGGCTTGACTAAAGACATTTTTCTTATCTAAAAAGGAAAAGCCCGAAGAAATAATTGAAAGTTTACCATGTCGTTTGATCGACTTTTGTATTTTTTTTATTACGCAAGAGAAAATATAATCCTGGCAACTGAATATACTTGTATACATATTATTTGTGTCTAGTTTTACAGCTACAGCAAAGATGGAGGTAAAATGGAGTATGTTTTCGTTGAAAAAGGGGGAGTTCGTTATGACACAGCGTGAACGCAGCGTCTACTCCTTCCGAAGTAAAATGAAAATAGAAACCCCAATGCAGTGCTGATTAGCGTCCGTTTAACGCTCAGAAATATAAATCGGTTCGTGTGTTCAGGTATCCAGTTGACCGCTGGCGAATTCTGACAGTAATCATTATTCGCTTGGCAACAAATTAAAGTGTATTTTTTTTCTAGCTTCGACCCTGATAGCCAATTGAGAGACGCCAAATTGATGGAATTTATGTTCGTTAACTTAAGGTTGCAAATAAGCAAACGGCTATTTTTTCAACGTAACTTTGCCCCCGGCAGAAATATCGCCCCCAGTTTTCATGGTTTCTCTCCTGCTAAATCAAAGTGGGGAAAACGTACGTATACTAAACATGCTGCAGCCTTCGGATGACTCTTGTTTAAGAAACAAGTTCTGGGGTTTACTCAGTGCGAAACGTCCATCTTGTTGGCATTAACTCGGAGCGTTGGATGTAGCCTTACAGCAACGCGTTTCCATTTGCTTGACTGACTGGAGGAATTTAACCGTGTTTTGCATCAACTTCCTTCCCACTTGTGAGCTTTAAGTAACTGAGTTTTAACCCTCCCGGATTCTCTTTGCCTCGGTTTTACCTACAGATCACACGATATCATAATATATTTGAATCCGAGCAGACGATCTTTTCACAATTTGGGGACACAGCAAATGCATGTTTATTTAAAGCGAGCGAACTCGCTGCAGACTATTTGCAAAAAAGCGCAAGAGACAGAAGAGAATAATTTACGGCGAGTACAAACTTTATTAGAACTGAGTGTATTCTTCATATTGCTGGCAGATGATGGACAGACCTCACAATAAGGCTGGGGGGATACTGCGTGTTAATACGGAGCAGACCCGTGGTGAACTTGGACATAGAATTTGAACAGATGAGGTGAACATCGCGCGAGGTAAAACTGAAAAAGAAAAATCAACACAGATTTTTACGCTAGGTTATACAGAGGCACAGTACAAACATTGTTTTTTAACGAGCTGGGTGTGAGATTCTGCTCACTGTTGGCGTAAGAGAAAACCAAGGTGGTTCAGCTTTTAAACTATGCTAGAGCCTAGACGAAGGATGTCATAAACAAATTCGATTTAAGTTTACGTTTACTGTCACTGCCTAAACCACTTTCTAGCCTTCACTGGAACTATATCACAGGAAGAAAACGTCACTGCCGCTTCAACGTTCACTGCAAGAGCTTTCAGTTTCACACCAATACGAGCATAAACAACTTACAACCGACGTTAAAAGGACCACTGGCGGTGCTGCTATATAATGTAGCTAATAAGAAGAAACCAAGACGTAATAGGGAACCTTAAATAATACCTGGGGCATGCCGATACAACTAAGTATTAATAGGATGGAGACTAAGAACATTCATAGGCAAGGGTGCATTGGGTTCCGTAATTAGACGGGCGTGCTCGTTAGTTCTGCCATAATTTACAGTTGCAGAGTGAACAATTAAGGATTTTGTTTATACATTATTAGTGCAGTTCAGAAAAAGTTGCTACCAGGTATGTACGGAGAGTGAAGTGACTTTGACAGATCACCGGAAGTGAACTTGCAACGTTTTAATTGATGGATTACAACCTAAAGCGACCTTCGGAGGAGGTGCCCTTTTTACGTCGCAAGAGGTAATAACTGAAATTAACTATGGAAATGTCGTAGATCCAGCAACAAAACATATAATAAACTGATCAAGCGATGACATAAGGTCGTTGTCTGAAAATTCAGCTTGGTTTTGATAGCAAGGGTAAGTGATTCGCGAAACTTGTGCTTTTTGTCGTTTTTATCAGATATAAAGAACATTTAAGATGTTAAGATATAGCAAAGCACAATGATCCTGCTGAGTAATGGGATGTATAGATTACACGTCAACCTAGTTATTTGACAACCCCTGCGCTCTAAACATGTCAAACTAGCGAGAGAGTTATTATCGGCATTATCAACAATGACATAAGCGATACAGACTTACCCTCGATATCGCTCTATGAAGCCTTGTTCTGAAATATGTCTTTTTTGATTTTTTGACTTTAATCAGAATAAGATATTTGAAAAGAATAGTGCTAGTGTTCATAACACGCTAGGAAAGGAAGTGAAATCGCAAGGCATCAAACAAGGTCTTAGTTGATGCTGAAAAACCTGTGGTGTAGAATACTTTTAACTCACTGGAATTTTTGTGGTTCTTTCACAGAGCGCTTGATGATTCAGATGATTCAGAAGAGCTATTGGAGACAGTATATGGACATAAGGAGCTGATTATGTCATGTGCTTATGCCTGCAGTTTCACTGTAAGTGTATACCACTTTGATGATAGAAGCGCCGATAGGCAACATCTGAGATCTTTATTTTCCTCTATATCTTACAACTTGAACTTTATGACTATTGGCTACGCTTCGCGTTTCATGTGAAATCTCTTCAGAAAAAAATGCGTTAATTGGCTGTAGGAAAACTATGAACCCGTACGTGACAAGTTACCACATGTGAAAATGAGGAGTCTAATTCACAATATTCTTAGGATTGTCGTGCTTTCTGATTTGCTACAGACGCTAGGATGCCCGGTCCACTCATCGTTCCGACTAACCTGCGGATGTTCAGTTAAAAGTGAATTTTCTCTGGACAGCACGTCTGGACGACGTACGGCGTACAGCGTAACGCTGCTCACGTGCACCAGAGTCAGCAACGCCATAATACCGCGTTTTACGTCGGAGGGGGAGCAATTAGACCAAATCCAATTTCATGATAATGCCATAGAAGAGGTGCAAAACAATGCCTTTATACGTCTGTCGCGTAAAAACGTGCAACGGATTAGTTTCACCAATGACAGAATCAGCGCCGTCGGTCGCGACGCGTTTTCCGGAATTACAGATAGTCTACGCCACTTAAGTTTTCGAAATAATAGCCTAACTAGTCTCCCAGTGTTCAGTGGACTGACTCTAGACACCCTTAACATAGAACACAATCACATCCAGACGGTGATATCTGGGTGGATTAGAAGGACAAGTATTACCAAACTAATTCTTGAGAACAATGAAATTAAATTCCTGCAGGCAGGTGCTTTTCATGGTCTCTCCGATACCTTGCTTGAACTGTCATTAGCGGGCAATCTTTTAAACAAAATCACCCCGGAAATGTTCGGTGACCTACGGCATTTGTTGAAATTAGACCTTGACGGGAATAGGATAAGACATATTGAAGATTACTCATTTCGAGGTTGTCAACAGCTGGAGGAGCTTAGAATTTCGGACAATGTTTTGAGAGTTGTCACCCCGCGGGCTTTTGCCGGGCTGGAAACCACCCTGGTTTCCTTAGACCTGGGGAACAACCAGCTTGTGCGCGTTGAGCCGTATGTTTTCAGTAATCTTCACAATCTACAGAGGTTGCTCTTAGCCAAGAACCGCCTCCGAAGGGTTCTAACAGGTGCGTTTCAGAACTGCTCCTCGCTGCGAGATCTCCGTCTCGAACGGAACAACATTACCCACATTGCCGACGGGGCGTTTGCGGGGTTGGAATACACGCTGGGTCACCTGTATCTACAGTTTAATCAACTTCAAACGGTCCCCTCCAACATTTTTGCCAGTCTAAGGCGCTTAGGTGAGCTATGGCTCCATAAAAATTTGATTCATCGCATCGAGGAAGGCGCGTTCGTGACCTGTCGGCAACTGATGATATTAAGTCTTTCAGGTAATGCTGTAAACTCCTTGACCCAGCAAACCTTGCGTGGACTGGAATCGTCTCTACAGAGGCTTTATTTAGACCACAACAAGCTGACGTTACCGCGTTACGAAATGTTTGCTAGTCTAAGGCACCTGCGAGTGCTGTATTTAGGCGGGAACCCTTTAACCTGCTCCTGCAGTCTAAACTGGCTAACTAACCCGAGAGAGATGTACATCATGTCGGATTTGATGCACATGAGTTGCAAAACAGCGCGTAAAAAACGCGAGTACGAGCTGACGAGATTTATTCGTCGATTCTGTCAAGAGACTACCCCGGTGGTACCTCAGTTCTCTACAACGGAGGCCACTGTTTCTGAAACAGTTTCTTGTGCGACGAGCAGCTCAACAGACTCCTCACTGGATCAGCGGGTTACATATTCGAACACAAAAACTGCTCTCGATCACACAACGCGGTTTGTTCCAATCCAAACAACACAAAACAAACGAGATCGCACGGCTGAATTCAGAACCGTTGCTAACTTATTTACCTCTGATGAAGTTACAAAAGTGACAGATGTTTCTTTCGTAACCGCTAACAGAAACATTGGTGAAAGAAACACACACTTAGTATCCAGCGGGGCTGAACCCACACATACCACTTCACCCACGATACTTGAAAAGAAAAACCAAGTGATTACTACTAGGGGTTATATCACAGAACTATCGAGGTTTACTACCAGTGAAGAAAATTCAGAGGTTGATCATACGGCACATTCATTAAATATGGCGAAGAGCACACACACTACGCCCCAAACGTCAACCACCGACAGCCCCTTCCCGCGACAGACGACAGCTGAATACGTTTCAATATCAGACGACAGAGAGACTCCTACGGTGCTGCCCTCTGCGGCAGACGGCAGTGAATCAATAACGCCACTGTCACCCTTTACAGAGGCCAATTCAACAGTGCCGTCATGGTCAGTAACATTAAGCAAAATAATGACGGAAAATAATTTTAAAGGTACCCATGTTTATTTTGATGTCCGGGCGCAAACGTCTCAGCAGCCACGTGCGCAACCAACTGAGACCACAGCTGCTTTAGACAATACACAAGAATGGATGACAGACGCCGTCAGAATGCTAGGGTCCACAAACGAGCCCACTACAGCAGAAAGCCGAGGTCTTACTCCAGAGCCTCCCCATTTGTCAGATGCAATCAAATCGTCCACCACAAACTATTTATTCATCGACGCAGAAAATGCAAACACGGACAAACCAGACACAGGTAGATTGTCATCCGAAATACCAGAAAATTCAACTCCTTTAGCAAGTTACAATACAACCGTTGATAGCTTGCGACAAAAGTCAAGACGCCCGCGGCCCGGTTCACGTAGGCGTGGCAATGGGAAGGGGCGTGGCAATAGGCGGGGTGGAAGGCGGGGCAGAAAGCGATTAAGAACGACATCCGTTTTACCTGAAGTGTATTCAACTTTAGACATGCAAAGTTCCGTCACAGAGGTAAATTCTGCCATTTCCAGTGAATACATTTTGCCAGGAGTTTCCGATTCAGGCCAATCAATAGGAATTACAGCATCAACTGAATTAGAGGAAAACATCGAAAAAAGGACCGAAAAACTAACAACATTAATGGAAAGCAGTCAACGATTTGATTCAAAAGCAGCTGTTGATTATGTAACACCTTCAGCTGATTTTTCCATTTATACTGCAGCTAATGCAATGGATGTGTCCAATGATAGGGGTCACTTTGAAACCACAAACGAACGATATTTGGACAGCACCCCATCTCATGTTTCATTGGCAGACTCGACAACTCGAGAACAGAGTAACACCGATATCAGTATAAAAACGACAAACATCCACAAAGACTCTTCCGTTGTTAATTTTAGGAATTCTATGGAAAATGAAAAACACACGGACGCTATAACCACAACAACGAACTTTAGAACCCCAGGGGCAACTAGTCCTGCGCCGGTTCACGACCAACTTCCTGGGAACCGGGGAACTATTTCTTGTCCGCAACTTGGACTAATAACCTTAATCTATCTAATTTTGTTAAGCATTAAATGGGTGTTAGTTTAACGGCTAGTGACAATAGATACTTTTTCCCTCAAGGCCAAAGGGATACTTTTGGACGGACCGCCAATGGAGTTCGGACGATTGTGGTGATATTGGTAAATATATTTCACTTTCAACAATGTGGTATCACTCAATTTTTGTAATTGGCGTGGTGTTTTTCGTACCGTTTTTGAGTCGTTCTTGCATCTTACCTTTAAGAGTATTATTAGATAAATTTATTTGAATCCTAAGGCAAAAATCAAGCAAAATTGGTCACTTATGCCTAGGCGATCTTTCATTTACCTGAACTGTTTATTCTTTTAAATCAGCTGTAAGTAGTGTACATTATTGGGTATCAACCGGAAAATATAGACAAATAAAATATATTCTTTTAAGATGCAATTGATATTGAAGTATATGTAAGTAGTGCGCTTGTGAAAGTCATAGTTAAATACCGATCGAAAAAAGTGAGGGTTAGTAAAACTGAAAATATCGAGAAAAAAAATAATAAAACGTAATTAGATATATACGAGTCGTTTTTCCCCCCGAAACTTAAAATGTGTGCCTATTGATCACGCGTGTACATGTGTGAGCTTTCACAAGGCAAATGTGCAGTATAGACATAAATGTTTAGAGAAGTTACATAAATGCAATCTTTTTGGTTTCAAAAATTTGACCAAAAATGGACGTATTGGTCGTAGAAAGGCTATTTAGACGAACAAAGTCACTACCAATATTATAGTGTACGTGCATTTTTTCACGCGTGTATAGACATAGTTCTTATAAATATTTATCTTATAATTCTTATCAAATGAGGTCCTTAAATGTGAAAACAAACGCATATGAGATGGCGAGTTTTAATTTAGGTCAAAATTGATAACGTGTGAAGTGAAACATGTAGTGTGAACTACCATCCACATTTAAGTGTCATTTTCAGTGTTCAAATTATCTATGAACTAATCTGCTCTTACGTCAGAAGGAGGTTGCCCTTATATTTTTGGCATTGAGAGGGATCAAAAGTCGTGATATACATGTATTTATCATATCACTTACGTAAAGACGAACTGGACTGAATGGTTTTGATCACGGGGTGGTTTTTATACATTGAAGTTTAAACTAATCTGGTAACATGTCCGAAACTCACGACAGGGTGCCGCTGGCACCTCCACCGCCCTATCCTGGCCGCGACAAGACGAGGTAAGGGTTACATACAGAACTGTTTTTATTGCGCAGAAGACATTATCGAAAGTTGTACTTTCTCTCCATCGTTCTGCTTCTCTCTCTCTCTCTCTCTCTCTCACACACACACACACACACACACACACACAGACACACTTGACGCACATACATAAATGGTGGCGTTAGTAATTAACCAAACATTTTTTTAACTAAGGGGGGGGGGGAGGTCATAGCATGTTGTGCTTTTTATCTGTCAAGGATAATTATATGAACTGTGCCTCATTTCCTTTTGAATAATTGCATGGGCTTCATGTATGTTACTTAGTCTGATACATTTTATTATTATTATTATTATTATTATTATTATTATTATTATTATTATTAGGGTTTCCTCGAAGTGTCTGAATGTTTGCCACGTTGTCATTGGAGTGCTATGTCTTCTACTTGGAATTTTGTTCCTCGTCCAGTTACCAGAGTTTTTTAAAGAAGAAAACGTGCCAACTAAAGACTGCGACAAGGCCGTCGTCATATGGAACCTGAAAACCGGGGCTGGGGTCTGGAGTGGAATGTTGGTAGGTTTCGAAAAAAGAAAAAGACCAACCTGAATTGATAATTATGTCCCTATCAAAATGGCTGTTTTTGTCATATAATTTATTATTTATTCATTTATTCGTTAATTGGGTAAATAGTTAATCTAATATTTATTTACTTACTTTGCCAGCTTTATACAGTGAGCAGTTTGAATCCATGCTGAGCATTACTTTTTTATGTAATTATAACTATTATACCTTTGACACTTTTATGTTATTGCCATGCTATAATGTATATGTCTAATTTAAATGTTGATTGTACTCCGAAATAATTTTATTCACTGCATTTTCGGTAACGGCAAAGTTGAATTGATTTTATATTTAGAATAAGAACATTGGGGCTATACTTTCTTTCATTTACAATTTTTCAGTTCATAATCTCTGGGATACTTGGACTAATTGCTTGGACTAATCCATCTGTTTTAGTAAGCATATCCATATCATTTCATACTTGTTAAGGTCCCAAGAACATAGTTTTCAAATATGTTTCAAGTATGTTTGAGCGAAAATATGCTGGATATATATATTAAAACAATTGATACTAGTGACGGTGAAAAAACATCTGCCTATTTAAATGCCTAATTAACTATCTGTTCCATGAATTTAATCATTAACACTTAACCGATTTATAATTGCAGTTGGTGGTGCACCTGTTGTCGTCTGCTATTGTTATTGCCATATCTGCTCTGCTGTTGGTACTGTCCATAATAGATATGACTGATACCAGTTGCAATGTTTATAACAACCCGGGTGTAGTAGTACGTGTGCATATATCTCATTCTCTCTTTATTTATCGTCTCTCTCTCTCTCTCTCTCTCTCTCTCTCACACACACACACACACACACACACACACACACACCTAAAACACACACACATGCACAAAACAATATGTACACATGCGTGCTGGATAAAGTCTTCTTTACAAATACATTCATTCACGAGCGTCAGTATTTTTAACATTGTTACCGTACGGTTTCATGAAATTTTAGAGTGTGCTTTTAAGTTCTAAAGATTATTCATTTCATGTATATATGGAATACACTATTTAGCATAAACATGTTGTTTTTTGGTTTATTATCAAAGAGAGATGGTTTTTATTGTTGAACATTATTCGCCTTTTAACAACAAGTTGCTTTGGGGGGAGGGGGTGAACAAAAAGACACATTACAAGGTCATGGCCCTTCTTCTTTGCAGCAATGGATCGTTTTGCTAGCTATGTGCTGCAGTATGGTGTTTTTGGCTGTGATAGAGATGCTGCTTACCATTGTGTGTTCATTGGTGCAATGTGTCGCCTGGAACAGCCGCCCAGCGGTAAGTATCGCCTACCAGTGTTTTCATGCAAATAAATCATTCACGAATTTTGTGTATATAAGTCACACTTGCAATCTACCTGGAGAGTTCAAGCAAAATTTATTTACTAACATTTCATCCAAATTTAAGAGTTAAGACAACGAAGCTTACAGGATTCCTCAGCCTGGTGAAAGAAGCAAAACATATGATATTCCAAGAGACTCTGGTTCTCTATATTGAAATAACTAGGCGTAAACACATAAACGACAAAGAATAATGTTAGATGCAGCAAATTTTTTAAAATGTTATGACTAACAGTGAATCGTTCATGACAGATTTTTTGTCCCCGTTTTTCATTACCAGAGAGCTGTGTAAATCCACACCCAATCGACACAGACGGAAATGAGGAGACCAAAACTGCAAAGCAAATTTATTTTTTATTTCTTAGAAACGGACAATGGACGTTTATCTGGACATACTTTAGTAGACTTGTAAATCAGATTGGGAATGTTTTCAGCAACTGTCTTCAAGGCCTCCCGAGATATAACATGCTCATATCGATATGTAAAACAGAAAATAGGTGAATATTTTTATAAGTTTAATGGCATAGATATTTGGTATATTGACCTTTGCGTTAATACCAACTTCCGTCGGTTTTCTGTGGATATTTTAAAGTCGAGTCCAAGGGTTTGATAAATGTTCATGGCAACGTCTTCATCTCCCCAAAATAAGACAAGGCGTTTCTCTACGGTAGTGGAATTCCATCGGAACACTCGGAGGATGTCTTCAAGGTCATGGACGCTGACGGCGATGACGTCACAAGAAGAGAGGACTTCGCTGTAGCTCACGCTGATTTCATTACCAGTGAAGACGAAACAGCCATCATATATGTAATTGTGTCATTGATCGTTTTGATTAAAATCACGTGGCAGGATGTACATGTATGGTGGAAGACTTTATGCTATACTGCATTGCTATTTAAGTATATTTAATATGAATAATGATGCAAAAAGTAAACATTGGTTCTTTTAGTACTTTTGATATGAATAAAGATGCAAAAGTATTTATTAGTTCTTTCATTACGTTTGATATAAATAAAGAAGACAGCAGACAGTTTTAAGCACGGTATATTCTTTAATAATAATAATAATTATAATAATAATAATTTTATTCTAAGTGTTAAATCCAATTCTCTTTTAACTAGTAGGTCCTTTTAATTGTGATCAAACTTAAAGAAATGATAAATATTGTTAAAATACACGTCGAGTTAAAAATCTGCATGATGGGATTATTTGTCTGGAAGTTGTGCTTTTTTTTTGTTTGTTTGTTTGTTTGTTTGTTCGGTTTGGTTTAGTTTGGTTTTTGTGCATTTTTTTTTCCTTTCTTTAACTAGCATTTCCAAGGTGTGACTTTGAACGCCCACGGACACGAAACTAATGCTAAGTGCATTTATGCTTTGATCACACATGCGCGTTTACACCTAATCTCTAGCTCTCTGCAATGTTAGTAAGTGGAACATTCCTCATATGACACGTGACCCGACGTTACGATTTACTCAAACGCACGTGCTGGTTGTTGTTTAATTGCCAAAAAGCATAATATAATTGTATATCTACAGTACAGTTGGTAGGGCACTGCATGAGAACAACAGTATAACTTCATTACAGATATGACATCCAGTTTATACTTATCGAATTCTTCTTATCAGAAGAGGTCAGGTGCTTATTTTGCGTTAACAAACTCGCATCATGTAGTAATCGAGTTTTTAGTTGAAGTTCAAAGATTGATAACGCTTGAACTGATAGCAGACATCACCATCCAATTTCTAGTCTCACTCTCACAATTTATTATATCTGTAACAAAATCTGCACTTACATTACAACGAGGTGGTCCACATATATTTGAGATTGGTTGTTGGGATCGAATGACGTACTATTTCTCATGTGACCTGATCCGCGTGATTTTAGGGGAAAGTTTTGTTTATGCTATCTAATAATTAGGGAACATGTCCGAAACTGACGAAAGGGTGCCTTTGGCACCCCCACCGCCTTACCCCGGACACGAGAAAAAGAGGTATGGTCTCTCTCTCTCTCTCTCTCTCTCTCTCTCTCTCACACACACATACACACACACACACACACACACACACACACATGCTATTGGCAAATATACGTAAACCATGGTGTCGCTAAATAATCTAAACTTTTTGGAGAGTGTGGGGCAAAGACATAAGTTGCAGCACTTTCAACAGTATTAATTACAGATACCCATTCATATGTAGAGGGGGGGTGTTCGTTGATCTTTAGCAATTCTTATATGTTTTATCTGTCGAACACTGCTTATAATAAAAATAACAATTATTATTATTATTATTATTATTATTAGATCACCACCTAAATGTCTCAACATTTGTCACTTCATCATTGGAGTGCTGTGCCTTTTGCTTGGGGCAGCATTCATCATCCAGCTACCCGAGTACTTCAAAGCGGACGGCTATGTGACAAGTAAGAACTGTGTTAACTCCACTGTAACGTGGAACCAGAGGACTGGGGCCGGAGTCTGGAGTGGGTTTGTGGTAGGTTTGTGGTAGGTTTACTGTAGGGTAGGTTTTTGGTAGGTTTGTGGTAGGTTAATGATAGGTTTGTAATAGGTTTGAGAAAAATAAAACAGAAGAACTGACCTGATGCACAAAAGAAAGTAAATGACTTGATGATTGTCATTTGTTTTTGCATAGAAAATACCAGTCGTGATCAACGGGTATTATTATTGCTTGTTAAAAGGCCAAGGTTGACATTCACTTCAATTTAATTTATTCTAATAAATGCGCTGCATGCATTGTAAAGAGCTTGTACATTAAGTAAGTAAAATGTGGAACATTATACATTAAGTAAATTCATATTTCCCTTAAACTATAAGGCAACAATCTTAATGTTAAAAAGTCAAAATTGTCAAAAGAATAATGCTAATAATTTAATTAATATTCAATTAATGGATTGTCAATAAGTGAGTCAAAGATTTTTTAAAATCAATTTTACTTTTTTATAAAAAGCAAAATGAAAAGACGCGTCAATGAATTTATATTCAGAGAGAATAGGAAGAAATAATTGGTGCTCGTTGTGTTCAGCAATAATATCAATATTCAATTGATTCCTTTCCTAGCAAAATAATTATCATTCAGAATATAAATGCTGCATTTTATATTTTTCCAGTTCATAATTTGTGGCATACTTGGATTAGTTGCTGGAACTAATTCGTGCTGTTTGGTAAGTAAACCCTTAGTAATACACTATATAAATTAACCTTAAACAATACACATTTTACAACCATTACTTATAAAGAAAACAATAAATACCAATAAAAATAAAAATCAATGCAGATGGTGCTGTGCATGAATTGCTGTATGTGAGTTAATATCTACCTTTTTACTTAAAAAGTGGTTAACTTTTAATAACTGATGCATTGAATTAAGTATTGTAACTGAATTTTTTGTTATCAATTTCAGGTGGTTGTACACGTAATGTCATCTGGTACTGTTTTTGTCACGGCATTGGTTCTGTTGTCGCTCTCAATGCTTGATTTGACATCTGTCAGCTGCAATGTTTATACCAATCCTACTGTACAAGTACGTGTGTTCTTCTCACTTTCTCACTCTCCACCTCTCTCTCTCTCTCTCTCTCTGTGTGTGTGTGTGACTGACACACACACACACACACACACACACACACACACACACACTGATATCGGCATTGACATTGGTGCATGGGCCACAAATAGCCCTATTCATATATTGTTAGAGTACAATTTCCGTAACCAACATAGACTAATATGTCAATACTTTCGTACTTAATTTTTAAACAAAAAAAACATTATATTTATCATGTACCTTATATCCACGTTGTTCAACATTCATTCCTCTTTCAACAAACATTTCGGCTTTACTGACTGTGCAAGAAAAAGGTTTCTTTTTATTACAGAAATGGATCGTTTTATTAGCCATGTGTGGCATAATGGTGTTCTTGGCTGCGTTAGAGATGCTGCTCACCATTGCGTCTTCGTTGTTGAGTTTGCATGTCGCCTGCAGCCGCACCACAACGGTAAGTGTGGCCTATACTACTATACTAGACCTCTTTTCATAACTAATCAAATACTAATCCCAGAACTCTCTATATCAAATTTGCAGCAGACCATATCTTATTCACTTACAAGCAAAAAGCAGTTTCAGGCGTTTCATGACAATCAGCGGGTTGCGAAAACGCTGCTGAAAAATACCCGTTGTCCAATGATGGACGAGACGCACAGAACAGTCTGGTATTTTAGTAGCGTGCATTAACACTGTAATAGAATAAGTAATGTACACAGATAAGGTAATGGGTTGTCAATATAGACAACAGCTGTTTAAAATGTTACCACCAATAAACCGCAAATCATTCACATGATAATATGGAAAACTATGTGACACGTTTTCCTCTTTTTCGCTTTAACAGAGATTGGTGGAGACCCAGCCAAACGCCACAGACGACGCAGGGTCGTCGTAGACTACACCAAGGCCATTTTGTGGCGGACAATTCAATTTTATCAGGATATATTTAAGAAAACACGTACATGTCCTACAACAAAACTGAACCACATTGAACAGGTTTTGATCTATGTATGGAAAGTTATTCCTGATTAAACTCTAAAAACCTATCCCAAGGAGTGGCTTGCCGCTTGAGAGCCCTAGTAGCAAGCAGATGAGTTCAGGCTTATCAGCGACCGTTGCTATTACTAGACACTGACATGGGGGTCCTTTTTTGGGCGTGTAACTCTTTAACAGAAGATTATTTGGAAAATATGGGGATCTAAACTATAGCTTTTAATGGTTGTCGTATGACTTAGAATAGGCAATATACTTTTGTTTGCTTCACAGGCGAATTCAATTAATGAACTGATGTCACAATTACATCAAAGAGATTATTAAAAGTTATTAAAACACGATTTTTATCCTTATTTTCATTGATCAGTCAGTATAATAGGGGAAAATTGATGACAAATGATTTGGAAAAAAATATTCCATATTAAATGTCAAGTCTAATTAGATAGGAAATGTTTTCAACAGCCCTGTCTTCGCACCTTACATGTAGATGAATGTTACTTAGAAAACATGTAAATCGTAAGATTAAAAAACGGCGTAGTATTTTGGTATTTAGACCGTTGATGATTAGCCTATCCACCACTCAATTTTCACGCATCCGTTAGACAATTGGATTTATTTGAGCCTGAATCGAGAATGGCGGCCCTGCGCATAGACATACAATATGACACTATAAAACGCGTCATTTGGGCCAAATTTGATAGAGGGCAATATGCATTGTAAATATAATAATTACCTATATATGGCAAATGAAGAGCATCATGTTTACCTTTTTCTATCGTTTATCATAGTGTGAAGCTTTATTTGAAGAAAAATGTCCTTAAAGTGAATATGCAACGGATAAATAAAGCGCTTTCAAAATTACCGAGGCAAGAATTTTATCTTGTAGAGGAACTAAGTTGATTGCCATATGACCTTGTCGTACTTAGGCATAGAATGTAATGTAAAAGAGAGAGAACGACATTGTAGAAAGAGCAATGTAAGAGGTTTAAGTGAGAGGAAGAAAATGTAGATAAGGTAGTTGGGAAATGACAATAAAGAATATGAAGGAACATGAAAATTGTTTAGTTTTTAACTCACGTAATCAGTAAGATAAAGTCCTTACCATCGTCAAACACACACACACACACACACACACACACACACACACACACACGTGTGTGTGTGTGTGTGTGTGTGTGTGTAACTCTATCCACACAGCTGGTATTCAAGCCTACCTACTCAGTACACCTTCGTAGACAAATACATGCTATAATACCATATGTTTACAGAGATATCTGAGTACATATTCTCAGAAATTTCACTTGCTGAGCCAGTTTGTAAATTTTGAAGGACCGTGTTTCATCAGGATAATGATTAAGGCACAGTAGATGCATGTACCCAAAATCCAAGAGAAAAATGCGGAAATGTAACTTTTAAAATGGAAATATCAGTAATACTGCAACAGATTATTTATCATAATGTGTGGTTATGTTACTTAAAGAAGACTGGTGCACGGATAAATACATCTCCACGGATAAACACATGAATAGATACATTTGTATAGGCCTACAGTGTTTTTGCTGTAATTTGTTTTTAGTCGGGCATGTGTTACCCATTTGTTCAGCTGTACATATACAGCATTTACACTTATATTATATTAAAGTCATTGACCTGCTCTCACTATAGCCCTGAATTGACCACTTGGCATCCTTGGTTGATTGTGGTTTTGGTTACACATTTCAGTGAGGAGCGTAAGGGAGCTTATAGGGCGATCCCATTATATTTACTAGTACGACAACAAGTTATGCATTTCATGTCACTACTCAATACTCTACCCTACCTGACCTGAGTTGACCTGTCCTGACTAGGACGCCACTTAACCTTGAACGGTCTGATCATGACCTTAAAAGAGCAGCGTAATTAATTCAGTATGAATACATTTATCCTTTACATGCATTGCTGACGTTTTTCACTCCCTCTTTTCTGTCTTGGAGCACATAGAGAGCGCCAGGAAAAGCAATGGCTGGACGAATCTTTTCTGGTAGTTTTTTACGCTGCGTGCTGAACCGATGTTATACGCAAAAAGCGATTAATTTAAAGGTGAGCACATATATGTACAGGTATTATACAGCGGTTTTTAAATTTATGTTAAGATAACCACACTACAGGATACTCGGAGAAATGTTTGGACGTGACGTCTAAAACGACCTCCAAAAGTGAACACGTTGCCTTGTATTAAATGAATGTTTTGTTTTTTTTTCGGAAAGTCACTTGCCTTTTGTAGTTTGGGAATCAAGCACGCTTCGCTACGTCACGAAATAGTGTTAAACTATTTATTATTTATGCAGTTAATGATGATGATTCCATACATCTGCACTGGGCAACAAAAGCTAAGCTTAATATATCATAAGATCCTGGCATATTGGTGTATTTCAGACTCCCAAGGACTACCCAGTGGTGACAGGGTCGGAGCATTGGAAAAGAAAATTCCGAAAGTTTTTTAGAGTTAGAGATTTGGATGGTGACGGTTATCACACCAAAAAGACTTTGAGATGAGCGCACATCGTGCGGCTTCCTATATGAATCTTAATGGTAAAAAACATATACGAAATTCGGTCATTTGTTACCGTTAACTTTGGTAGATTATTTGCCTCTGAGAAAATAATGCTATAAAATTGTACATTGATATAAAAATAAAAGTTATTAAAGAATCAATCCCAACATATATATATATATTTATATATTTAAAGTCTCAGATAGAAAATATTTTTATTTCGAAAAATTTATGTATTAATTTCCATTGCTCGCTGAGTTTAAAGTAATCACAATTTGTTGTTTTAGAAAAACAGGCAAAGGAACTATTAAAGACACGAGTTGCCATTTTGGAAGTACTTGCAAGTGGTGCACCCGACCCAGATAATTTCAAGATGTCGGAAGAAGAATTTCTCTCTAAATTGATTGCTGGGCTAAACACGACTTTCCGTGAAGCCGCTATGGGTATATTTAATTGTGAATTCGATTCCATTGATGTTGATGGCGACGGTGTCATCTCCCCAAAAGAGCACAAGGCTTTTTTCTATGGATGGGGAATCCCGACAGAATACTCGGAGGATGTCTTCAAGGTCATGGACACTGACGGCGATGGCTTCATTAACAGAGAGGAGTTCATCGAAGCACACGCCGATTTCATGTTCAGCGAAGACGAAAACAGCCGATACAATGATTTCTTTGGTTCTCTTGATTAAAATGACGAAGCAGGATGCATGTACAGTATATATTTACGCTTCAGATGAGATTTGGGTTTTATGTATACTTTGTGTGGTCATATAGGCATGTGTGTGTATACAGTTGGCCTTGCATTTATTCAGAAATGAACGTGACTAGACGCATTGATACAATAAAAGCAGCTTGTGACGCGGTACGTTACATAGATTTTCCATTGCATCTTGTGTGATTATAATAAGAAAAAATAAACATTTTCCTAACACACCAAACGTGTTTTCTCCCTGTGCTTCATGAGTATAAGAAAAGATAAAGAAAGAATAACATCATTTGGGTTTTTTTAGTAAGATAAAACAGAGTAAGATTTAAGAGTTGTGGCCTTATATTGGGGTTTAGACTGCGTTTGTTAATAACCCCCCCTAGCAGCCTGAGTACCTGTAGGCGTGACAGATATTAAAGCCGCTTACAGGAAATGCAGTTTAACGAGAATCCCCTCAGAGTTAGATCGATCCAGCTAGTTCGATAGTTTTATGGGAATGCTCCCTTACACTAACTAGTACTTAAGTTCCATTTGCAAAAGAACTATTGCGCTTCACATACAAGTCGACGGCTAGTATTTTGACTATTTTCGTTACATATTCAGTCGAAAAAGTAAATTAATTTCCAGCATATACAAGGGCTTATATTGTCATGAATACAAGATATGGCCACCAAAATCTCAATGGGTTGGGTCTTGAGGAATCGGTTTGCATACATCAAGTAAATTATACTGCACATAAAAAGACGTGTTGCAATATAAAGAGGACAGTTTATCACGTTGACAGGTAATGTTCAACATCTGATGGTACATTATATCGCTACACAGGATTTCTATAAACGGTCTCCGTTGAATCAACTGGGGCTCTTATTTCGCTGCATACGGGCTGAGCCAGTGTTAGGAGAGTTATTATGTATAGTGAAATGACATGCATCTGAGGTTTTCCGTTTATACGCACAAACCACAGAAGTAACCTTGTGCTGAAGTATTTTAGTTGCTGGTTCGCTGAATTGTCTCTGGGAATGTTCGTTTAAAATTATCAACATGTTAAGTTATTTTAACCAAACTACTAGTATCAATACGCGATTACAAACGTAGTTTGACATTATCAAGTACATTCTTGTGTTATAGTGGGAGTGTACCCACCCAGGAAATGTATAAATGCAAACGTAAATAAACACGATTGATTTAAGCTAGTTGCTTTGGCAGCACGACATTGTAGTTCTCCACAAAAACAACCAGGTCTTCTCTTGACCTTCCTATTGTTATCACGCATGAACTCGCCCAGTTTGGCAAACCACTGTAGTGACTTTTTAAGAAAAAAAAATTGTAATGACGGATAGATACCTAATACCGGAGAGATCAGCCACTAAGCAGACACGCTACGTGTTAAAAATAGTTTGTGAAGAAACATTTCCACCATGAATGCCACGTTATCTACTGGGGTCTTGCAATTTAGATGTATTGCTCTTCGAGTTTTATGCATGAGTGTATAAGGCGAACTATCTTTCTCACCTTGAGAGTATGCCCTTAATTTAAGATCAAATGTTCTTTCCATGACATTGATAAAAGACCACGTGCAATAACAGATACCTGTTGTCACAGGTCAATGGACTGCACAGTACATTAACTTTTGAAAACTGCAGGAAAACATTGTCGTTATAGTCTAGGTCCCAACTACATTTTGGACGCACGGTTTTTAGGTTCCTTGCGTCCTGCAAGGACGTAGCTAGATCGCACGTAGCGGCTGTTGTCCTACGTGCTGTTTGCGTCCTCCAAAAGTCGCACGATGGACGTGCTCCTCACGCACGAACTCCCACGTTTTCCCCATTTTTTGGCCGTAGGCCACACGTAGCAGCCCGTACGTTCGGTTGGTACCTAGGCTTATGGAGTCTAATAACCGTACAGAGCTGACGTGCCTGTGTGTCTTTATTCCTCAAAAAGTTGACGGTTCACATATACATACGCCAGATATATTCCACTAAGGCCCACAAGAGCATGCGCGTTATTTTATTTATTCATTTATTTTCAGGTCCAAAAAAGACATACTAACACTTTCCTACAGTTACATGGCTACTTAAACACTATGGATGGACCCAGGTTTACCAAAGCTGCACACACTCTATTTTATCACCACTTGATACTGCAGCATCCATACTTTCATCTCTAATACTTTTGTCACATCTCAGGGGTAAAGTGCCTTTCAAAATAGTGTACCTATTTTAGGACATCATGTATCAGTCTTTCAATATGGATCCTAACTGAGGACACCTTACTTGATCCCTGAAGGTCAATGCCTGGCATTTTTCTATGGCCTTTTGTGAAAGCTGGTGTGAGGAGCTGGGCACTGCATCGTGTTGCTAACTCGTCATGAAGGAGGAAACCTCTCACACTATCATCACATCAGATGCTCTACCACCCCAAATTTTAGACAAAAAGTTGATGTGGCCATTCGGGTTACAGGAAAAAAAATGAATCGTTGTGTGTTTTTTGTAGCTGCTATAAGTCTGTGCACGGGCTAAGAGATTTTGTAGTGACTCTATGAATATTTTACAACAATCCACAATTGACGTTAACCGGGGGAATTTATCTTTGAATACTTCTGGTAATGTTCTAAATATATGTTCTCTGTCTGTCGGTACAATTGTGAAGCTTAGTTTGGAATAGAGCATGTCAATCCATTTCCAAAAAAATGTCAATCATAGTTGTTTTGGGAATTCCCTTAAATATGTGTTAAAAATTCAAACGTGAGATTGTGTCTTAATTTCAAAAGTACGTGTCACAAACAGTTGCTCCTTCAAGGGTAAAGTACCCGGTACCTTATTTCACTGATGGGAACAAGGCTCTCATTGCAGTAGTAAGGCACATGAATACACCCCATGAAAGACCAGTCATCATTTTACACGCCTCATCATTGCCTTCAACAGAATATGTACTGAGTGGTGTCAAAGTAAGTAACTTCTCCAAACTTGCAATACGGGACAGGTCCTCCAAGCTTGCAATACGGAACATTGATTGTATACCTTCTGTAAAACATCTTTTGGCTGCACGTTCGAAGCGTTGCACCTTCTGAGTAGTTTTCTTATGTGGAAAAATTGACGGACAATAAACTGGATGCCCTGGATCGTTAACGCTGGCCCCTGTAGGAAGACTAAGTCATTTTGAATACATATTTTTAAATTAAAAACCATTAGAATATATACATTATTCAATAGCAGTCTTATGTTTAACGGAAACAATAAATAAAAAAATTAAAATATTAAAATTAAAATATTGAACACATTTATTACTGTACCTGTGACAATATGGGCTGAGCTCACATAAACAAATTCTGAGGTAGGGTTCCACATCTTATTTATGCCAAACTCCCATCTGGATTAACATGAGCACGATTAATTGCTCTTAGCCATTCAAGTCGTCGTGCTGGTAATGTTGGCATCTGACAAAATTTTGTCTGTGGGTTTTTATAACTGTTAGCTGTACTGCCAGACACACAACATCCTTTCACCATTTTCAGAATTGCAATGATCATGTACCACTTGCATTTGTCAATTAAGAAATCAGCCTAGAGCACCTGCCTGTCACTGTCAGCTTGGCCCTGCTAGTTCTGATGACAGACAGATATAATTAGAGTCCTTGATTGAGGAACTGATCGAAACACTGATCTTATCGTTAAAGTAACAGATACGATCTATTTCTGCCAGCTAAATCACCTGTAACGGTCTTCTGATAGGGGGAAATCCAGGTAAGTCTCATTCAGGCGCTGTCAGGGGGAGGTTCTGGAGATATATCTGATAAGAAGACAATACCAGAGTAAACTGTAATTGCAGTCCGTTAGAGAAAATGTTGGTTTTATCGCTGATAAAATCACCAGCAGCTCTAGAAAAACCTCTTGGGGCCCATTGACTGACTCTAAAAACCCAAGTGAATGACCAAGTGGTTGTCACAAGTAATAAGGTCGCGCGACAAGGTTATTTTCAGTTGCACCCTGGATTACGCACGCTTGCTCCGCAAGGTGTCGCCTGTGGTGGGGGGGCGGGGGCGGCACAGCCCATATGGTTACTGTGGCGAAGGTGACAAGTACTTCCAAACATTTTTTTTAATAACTGTCATTATTCCTCATTCTATTCACAAATTTGATATTTACGGCAATGGAAAATGTGGCACTGACAAAAGTGGGTCTTGGTGCGTTGACAGGCCGCACAGGTGTCCCCAATTAACCGCCACCAGAGAAAAGACCCCAAGCATTAAACAACACGACCTGTAGATATTGGAAATTTGGCAAAAGTTAAGCAACTGAGGCTTTATTAGATTTGGGCAGAAATCGAGAGGAATGTCCAGTGACATGCCAAACCTCTAAGTTCAAGTCTTGGCCCTTGACATCAGTAACGCACCCCTTAGTCAAGAATCTGAACAAATCAATGTTGGGCAGGTATGCTCTATTTTCTACAGGCGATTTGTGATTTTATCAACTTGATTGTCAAGTGCCAGACCTTTTGTTCCCAG